AAGGCTCAATTGAAGAGTGAGGCTGTCCTATCTCCAAAGTGCTTAAGAGCAACCAAGATGTCAGGCTGAAATAATAGTAAATCTCATTTTATTCAGCATGATTGTGAAATAGAAAATGCTTCCTAATGAAAGGTTTTGATGAATAGAGATTTAACAATCCATCTAGTACACGGTTCATCAATTTTGGAAGGGTTAATGCACACTCAACATTAAAACTCCATCTGACATGCTGTAATTTGACCTTGGTGATGATCAGGGCACTTCAAAGACTTTGGCTGAAGGAATGTGGTAAATGCAGCAGGAAAGATACAATGGAAAGTCTTAATGAAGGGCCGTAAATTTGAAACAGGACTCTGGCTTCGATGAGCCTTTGCAGTGTTTGGTGTATGGAAAGACGGGATGAATGCTGTGCTTCGGAAAGATTAATTTTAAGGTTGCCAATTCATGTATTTTTTTTCCTTTATTCATAAAGATTTTTGTGTCCTCTTTAAGAAATCTTTACCTAGAACAAGATCATAAAGATTTTTTTCCTGTTTTCTTCTAAAACTTTATTATTTTCCCTTTCAAATTTAGATGTATTAGATCATAATGTATCTGCAACATTTTTGTATATAGTAGGGGGTCAAGATTGATTTTATTGTCCATATAGATATCCATTGACCCAGTCCCATCTATTGGAAAGTCCTTCCTTGCCTGCACTGATCTGCAAGGTCACCTTTGTTATAAACCAAGTGACCATATATATGTGGGTTACATTGTTCTATTTGTTACATCGGTTAATTTGTCTCCTCTTATGCCAAAACCACACTTCCTTAATTACTATAGCTTTGCACCTAAATACTGTAACTTTTCTAGTTAGGTCTTGATATCTGATAGTATAAGTCCTCCATATTTCTTCTTCAAGATCACCTTTGCTATGCTAGGTCCTTTGCATTTCTTATAAATTTTAGAATTGCCTTGTCAATGTCCATAAATGCTCTGTAGGGATTTTGTCTGGGATTGTATTGAAACTATAGATCAATTTGACACCTTAACGATTTTGAGTCTTTCAATCATGAACATGGTATATTCTTTCATTTATTTTGTGCATTTAAAATTTCTCCCAATTACATTTTGTAGTTTTCAGTATAGAGATCTTGCACAGCTTTCATTAGAGAGTCCTATTAAATAATTATTTGAGATGTATTGATGCTATTATAAATTGTATCTTTTAAAATTTCATTTTCTGTTTCTTTGTTGTTGACATATGGAAATAAAATTTATATCTGTATATTTACCTTGTATCTAGTGACTTTACCATATTCAGTTATTCATTCAAATTATTTGTAGATTCTGTAGGATTTACTATGTATACAACCACGTCATATGTGAAAATGACAGTTTTATTTGTTTTTTTCAAATTTTACCTTACTGAACTGGCTATTTGATGCTACAGTAAATGGAATTGTTTTCTTAATTTCCTTTTAGTATTGCTTTTGACTGTTCTGTAACTTTGCTGAATTTGTTTATTAATTCTAATATTTTTGGATGTGTGTTTGTGTAATCTTTAGAGGTTTTTTGGTAGGGTTTTCTACATATGTTTTATCTGTGAACAGAATCAATCTCTTTAATAGATGTAAGACTATTTAGATTTTGTATTTCTTTCTGTATCATTTTTGGCAAACTGGATTTTTCAAGGAAGTTGTCTATTTTGTCCAAATGTTGAATTCATTGGCAAAAATTGTTTATAGTATCTTATTCTTTTTAATGTCTTCAGGATCTCTAGTGAGTTTCCTTTTTCATTCTGATATTGATTATTAGAATGGAATTATTATTGTGTTTCCTTTCATTTATTGGTCTTAAATGCTTAACAATTTAAATAGTCTTTTTAAATAAATAAATCTCCTTTTGGCTTTGTTGATTTTTTAATGGTACGTTTATTTTCTATTTCCTTGGTTTCTTCCCTTGTTATTTCTTTCCTTCCACTTACTTTGGGTTTGATTTGTTATTCTTTTTCTAGTTTCATGAGATGGATGCTTAGATAATTGATTTTCAGGCTTTCTTCTTTTTTTTAACATATGTACTTTAGGCTGCAAATGTCCATTTAAACACAGCTTTAGCTATATCTTACCAGTTTTGATATGCCATATTTTTATTATCATTGAGCCAAAAAATATTTTCTCATACTGTTGTGATTTCTTCACTGACTTATGGGGTATTTATCAGTATATAATAATGCTTAATTTCCAAGCAGCTTAATTCCATTGTTGCCAGAGAAGGTGTTTAGAATTATTTCAGTGTTTTGAAATTTGTTGGGGTTTGCTTTATGATTCAGCACATAGCCAGTTTTGGAAAATTCCTTACATCTTTTTGCTCTAGTATCATAACTGTGACTGTATGTCTTGTCTCTGGGAGAAGGAGAAGGCACACCTAAATTTTAAGGTCCAGAGTAGGAAATGATACACATCACTCACTCACATCCTATTAGCAAGAGCATGTTCACACACGCACATGGCCAGGCCTAATGCTAGGGGGGGATGGGAAGCTGAAGTCTCAGATAGGGTTCTCCCTCTGTAAGATAGCAAGATAGTGGCAAGCAGTCCCACACAGATAGTGTTCTGTCTGTGCAAATTCAGTTGAAATAAAAAATGAGCCTTTCTCCATAACTCTGGTAGAAAATTCCTAGAGAGAATCAGATTGGCGTGATTTGGATCACTTTCCTATGTTTTACCAGTCACTATGGCAAAAGGGATGGACTACTCCCTTTTGGGCCAAGCCTGGATATTCATTGTCTTATGCCGGCAATGGACAGTAGTCCATTAGTCCCAGAAGAACTACATAAAAAGGGTTCCAAGGGGAAAGGTGAGGTTTTATTATCAAGAAAAGGAGATAAGGAGTACACACAACTGCAGTCCTCAGCCCCTGGGGCCATGGAGCACTATCAGTAGGCAGCCTGTCAGGAACTGGGCGCACATCAGCAGGTGGGGGGTGGCTAGCTAGCGAAGCTTCATCTGTATTTACAGCTGCTCCCCGTGATCACATCGACGCCTGAGCTCCCCTCCTGTCAGATCAGTGGTGGCACTAGATTCTGCATTATGGTGAGTTGTATAATTATTTCATTATATATTACGATGTAACAATAATAGAAATAAAGTGCACAATAAACGTAATGCGCTTGAATCATCCCAAAACCATCCCTCACCTCCACTGCCCCATCCGTGGAAAAATTGGCTTCCATGAAACCCGTCCCTGGTGCCTAAAAGGTTGGGGACCACTGCTGTACAAAAACTAAAACAAACAAAAATGGTGCTCATTACAAAAAGTGAGAAAACAGAAAAAGGTAATCCCTGAATTTGGAAATTCAGAGGCCACTGGTGTTCCTAAGGAGAGCCATGGCTGTGGAGTGTCAGAGAGAAACCAACTATGGTGCAGGAGGAGTGGGTGGAGAGGAACGAATGGGGCACGTTGGAGCAGATGTCACTCAAAGATGATCGGCTTTGAAGAGCAGCAGTGTCTTGGCAGAGTTCCCCAAAGGTGGCCCTGGGACAAGGACTTGAGTGCAAAAGTAAATATGGTAATTTATTTGGGAGGTGATTCCAAGAAACTTTGGTAGAGGAGCGGCATAGTGAGTCAGGAAAAGGAAGAAAGCCCACAGAGGTATGTTGAAGAGCAATCTACAGCTGTGGACAACTGGAGCTCGATTATCCTACAGAGACCCGCTCAAGTAGAGCCTGGGATACACGCCTTCCTGTAGATTCACTTGAGGGGTGAGGGAGCCAGGACGTTAGCGGCCAACTCTTATCCCCCATGGATGGAGAGCACTTGGGAGGGGCTGCCCCATTTTTGCTCTGAGCAAGCTCCTCACAGCTAGTGAATGCCTACGGATGGAGGTTGTGCGCAAATCCTCCAGTGCCTGCCTGCCCCACGCAATTTGGGCAAAGATGGGAGGAAGGAGAGCGCTTCTACAATATGATCGGTAGATATCATGAACACGGGAGGAACAGGATGGGGAGAGGTCCCAGCGTGTTCTTTCTCTAAACAAGAGTAAAAATTGTAAGGTGCATGGCTGATGTGGATACTTCGAGGGAATGTAGGAAGTTTGAGGGAATCTGATAGTCGTTGTCCTCTCTCTGTCCCTCGAATGCACTAAAAATGGTTTTCTAAAAGGAAATTAGAGTGGGCTATCAGAACCTAGGGGACTTTAAAGAAACACTACCCGCTCTCAGAAGGGGAAATCAAGGTCGGGAGAAGGGAAAGCGAGTGGCCCAACGCTGGTAAATGGCAAGACTAGGAGCGGAGTCCAGGGCTCCCTGCGGCCTGTATGGACTGTTTCCACCAGCGGAGTCTAAAGTCACCCCCCACAGCCCGGACGTGCGCCACCGGGGAGGTCTCTGCAGACAAGGGAGCACTTGACCTAAACAAAACCAACAGCTGCTCCAAGTTCTCAGTAGTCGTTAAGCAAAGAGGAAGGGAAGCACATATTCACTTGGACACAGGATTGGGCCTTAGAACTTTTTGTTTTTATCCATAAAACGTCCTTTGGTAACAAGGAAGACCCAGAGCAAGCCGTGCAAAAACAGATCTTCCACTGGCACCACCCCCGGGCTGTGACCCTGGGCTCCGGAGGACCTGCCCGGGCTCCAGCTCTCCACCGCACATTCCCAGGGCTGCGGCAAGCCGCGCCCAGCCTCGCGGCGCCCCAACCCTCCGCCGCCCCAGCCGGCCCAGAGAGCGGGAGGGGACGCGCGGGACCCACATGCCCTCTGCAGGCGCGGCGGGGGCCGGGCCGCGCGGAATCACGGGCCGGGGGCGGGGCCGCCGGGGAGGGCGGGCGTCCGGGCCGCGCTCTCCACTCGGGCGGAGGCGCGGGCGCCCAGGCGCGGCGCCGCGGGGACCCGCCGGCGCGGGGGCGCGGCCGGAGCGCAGCGGGGACGCCCGGGCGGGGTCCACGCTGAGCAGCCGCCTCGGCCCGCTGGTCCCTGCAGCGGCTGCCTGGGCGGCCCGGCGCGCGGCCCTTCGCCATGTACACCTTCGTGGTGCGCGACGAGAACAGCAGTGTCTACGCCGAGGTCTCCCGGCTGCTCCTCGCCACCGGCCACTGGAAGAGGCTGAGGCGAGACAATCCCAGGTTTAACCTGATGCTGGGAGAGAGGAACCGGCTGCCCTTCGGGAGACTGGGTGAGCCCTTCCCCATTTCCCGCCTCCCCGCCCCCGAGCGGCCCTCCACTCCTCCCACGGCCCGGTAGAACGAGCGCTTTGTTTTTAAGGTCATAAATCTTCCTCTCCGTCGCTTCTCAGGGAGATCAGACGCATCCAGAAAGATCTAAACCTGTCGTTGTTAATGCCTTCTCGTCTCCGGATTCGGAGCGGGAGTCGCAGTGCGGCCACCCGGGAACGCAGCTGTCTCCCGACAATGACCGGTCCCTGCAGCCGGGGGCACATCAGCCGCTGAGGCTGGGACTTGAGGCCGCGCGTCTCCTAGTTCTCCCGGCCCGACCGTCCCCCCAAGTCGGGCAGGTGGGCGGGACTGAGCAGAGCGCAGCGCGGCTCCGCATAGCCGGTGGCTGACATCTGACTGGAGTCCCCGTGCAGCTTTTCTGCACTGGGGATTCCTCCCTCCCTGGCGCGGGTGCGGGAGTGTAGGTGTTGAAACCCCTCAGGATTCTGCCACCCGAAGGCTCAGATGAACGGTCAGGGAATTTGGGAAAGACCTCTGGATTCCCAAAATAGGGGCTTCAGAAGGGACCCTAGCCCAGGGAAGGGTGAAGGGGTGTCTGATTTTAGACCTTTCCTTAGTTTCACCAAAGAATGTGTTTTCACAAGTGTACATTGAATAAAGGTTTTACGTGAGGCTGGGTTCGCCTTCGTCTCTGCCCAACTCTCCCCTGGGAAGTTGGCTTAGTTCATATGGTTGAAGCCGGCTGGGCACCACCATATCCACGTAACCTCTGGTAGGAAAGGCAGGAGAAAAGACAGCACCAGCCCTCCTTTGTAAATGATGTAACACAGGAGTTGTCCAGATTGGTTCAACTCACATCCCATTGACCTGAGCATCGTCTCATGGCCTCCCCTCACTGCACAGTAGTCTGGGACGTCCGGCCTCTCTCTGAGTAGCCATGTTCTTCACCAAAGTTCACCAGGGGTGTGGGCCAACTGTTTTCCAAGGACAAAAGAGGAGAATTGGTACTGGAGAAAGAGTCATCTCTGCGTTGGAGGACAACTCAAAGAGAGCAATGTTCTGTGTCCAGGAGAGGAATTGGTTTTGAGTAATAGGTGTCGTCGGAGGTTGAATGGGCAGAGACTGAAAACAGGCCATTTTTGGAGTTGACTAGCCATTGGTGAGCTTACACAGAGCATTTTACACTTGTAGCTGTGACAAACCATAACAGTTTGAGGAATGAAGGGTGTTGTGGTATAAAATTACTGAACTTTTTTCTTTGGAATATACCTGGAACAAATTTTCATTGTTATACAAGTTGATGATGTAGAATGGTGACTCCATGGAAGGGCTGATTTGAACCCCCAGAAATCTCAGAATATGGGAAATGTGCCTGGAGATTCCCTTTTGTTAAACTGTCTCAGGAAGCCCTCAGTAAAGAGAATATCTCCCTGAAGGAAGGAGAGGAAAAACTGCTTATAGTTGAAAACAGCTATTTCTGCCTTTCATTTTCCACTTCCCTTACTGACCTAATTTCCTGTTTGGACGTGGCGTTGCCTGGCTTAGATGGACTTCTAATATGAAAAACAGAAAAAGGACAGGCACGGTGGCTCACACCTGTAATCCTAGCACTTTGGGAGGCCAAGGTGGGAGGATCGCTTGAAGCCAGGAGTTCGAGACCAGGCTGAGCAGGAGCGAGACCCCGTCTCTACAAAAATTAGAAAAATTAGCTGGGTGTGGTGCCATGTGCCTGTAGTTCCAGCTATCTGGGAGGCTGAGGCAAGAGAATCACTTGAGCCCAGGAGTTTGAGGTTGAAGCGAGCTATGCTGATGTCACTGCACTCTAGCCCTGGCTGCAGAGTGAGACCCTGTCTCAAAAAAAAAAAAAAAGGCTCTGCCCAGGGCAGAGGCAGGAGTGATTGGCATTGCTGTGGTGTTCAAGCTTAAGAATGAGAAGCAGAAACCTACAGGGTCAGAATCCTAAATAGGAACCACAAATTCAGCAGATGATCAGTAAACAATTGGGTTTTATGGTAAAGAAAACAGCATCCCACAATGAAAAATGGTTATATGCCATCACTGTTAGGGATATTTACCTTTTGCTTAAAGTGCATTGCAAGGAAACCCAAGGAGAAGGCTTATAGAGCCATTTCAAAGCTCAGGAATGCTGGCGCCCAGGGAATGAGAAGGTGTGAATCAGGTCTGTCTGCCCTGGGGAGACAGTGAGAGCCAGTTAATGCCTACCTGAAACTTTTGATTTGGCTGTATGCCATTCTCAGATGAATTATTCTTACCTCTGACATCTTCATCTCAAAATCTCTCTGTTTGGTCTTACTTTGATTTTTGTTCCTGGAAATGCAATGCATTTTATTAGCATTTTAAACAAAACATTTTTTATTTTAAATAAAAATTTGTTTTTCTTTGTATCTTTTCTGCTCTAATTTTATAAAGAAGGGGACATGTAATAAGAGCTGTTGAGAGTGAGTTTCCCTGTGGCATGATGCACAGAAGAAAGTTATCAGAGCTTCTGGTTTTATAGACATGGCCTCTCCGCTACCTTCCTTCACCTCTTAGTGGCTCTCCTAGAAGCTTGCAGAGGTAGATGTGCTTGAGCAGCATCATAGTTCTGCCACCTTCCTTGGTGGCTGTAGAAAGCAAGGTTGGGGATGTGGAAAGCACGACTCTATGAAAATAGCCGCACTGTACAGAGATTACAAGTCCCTAAGTGTTAAGCCAAAAGAGGAGTGTGCTATGCCTCAGGGAAAGGTGAAATAGAAAAACCCCCAGCACCTTCTACCCTAACAAGAAAAGTAGCAGTGGTCTTTGGCAGACCTACGATGTTGATATTATTATATCCATGGAGGGGTGGGTGAGAGTTGCCAGCGAGTACAGAGGAAGAGGGACCCTGGGGACAGAGAAACAAAATTGTTTGTTTCTAACAACAGTCCTGAAATGAGAGAAAGAAAAGCTGGGTGTGGCACAACTGTTCTCCCTGCTGTGAGCTGGTGCTGACACTGTCTTTTCCCACCTGTCCTGTTTCCCTTCTGAGCCTCCTCTTTCCTTCGCAGGTCACGAGCCCGGGCTGGCGCAGTTGGTGAATTACTACAGGGGGGCTGACAAACTGTGCCGCAAAGCTTCCTTAGTGAAGTAAGTGTTCTTGAAGACCTGTGTTTTCAATTTATATATATATATATATATATGGCATTTAAGCACAAATGTGGGGTTGTTTAAAGGGCAAAAATACTTTTATTTAAAAAGCCAACAAATATTAGTTCTGAAGCTTCCCCTAAGCTGCTTTGATTGAAGCAATTTTTAACAGGATCTGAGCTTCATTATGTACATCCTGTTAAAAATTGGATTGCAATTTGGATTGCAGTCCAAGACATTGCTATCTCATGCTCGATAAAGCTTGTCTGTTTCTTAGGTGGGGTTCCCTAGAGGCAGAGCCTGAGCAGGGTTTCTTGTGTGAGTGATTTCTTGGGAGAGGGCTCTCCAGAGCAACCTGTCATGGAGCAGGGGCAGCAGAGAGGGGCAGGGCAGGGGAAGAGCCATGCAAAGAGGTGGTTTCAGCTGAAGTCTTGCCTCAGCCTGACTCCATGGAGCACTGAGTGAATGGCACCTCAGAGTTGTCACATCTTGAGGCAAGGGGACCATGCTTCTGTGCTCCATCCAGTATCAGTCAGCTATTGGCTGTGGGGAGAAGTAGAGGACTTAGCTTCCCAGGCATTTCTGGGCAGGGGCTGGACCCTGGAGAAGGGCGTGCACAGCCCGTAGCAGCCATCTCTCACAGCAGTGAGGGGTGCCTCAGAAAGGATATCTGGGCAGGGTGTAACAGTGCCCACGCTACCGCCCATCTCTGAGCAGTTGAATTACGGCCAGGTATCACACGAATAGAATCATAAAGTAGAAGGAGACTATATTATACAATGATTAAGATCTAGGGTCAAAAGCTTGGATTTTAACCCCAGCTCTTCCCTTTACAAAGCTCATCCCTCTAAACCTTAGTACCTCCCTCATAAGGCTATGAGGATTAAATAAAGTGATACATGTAAAGTATATATATAGCACAGTGGCCTGGTACATATGAGTATTTGTGCCTTAATTTTCTTCCATGTAAAATGAGAATAATAATAGTAACTACCTTAGTGTTGTTATGAGGATTAATTGAGTTAATTTATGTAAAGGCTTTGAATAGTGCCTGTCTTGTAGTTCATACTGTATAACTGAAAGTTCTCCTTCACTTTATTATTAGTAGTATTGTGGTTGTCATTGCCATTATTGTTATCATTTCAGTAGGGAAACACTGGGTGTGGCCCCTGAAGTCAGGGCTGTAGTAGGTCTCCAGTATTCTTTCCACAATGACTAGTGAACATGGGTATGCAGCCAAACATCATTTAGGTAAGAAGGCTCTGGGATTTTTGACTTGATGCAAAATGCTCTTTTGCCTACTAACGTTTCTTTCTGGGCTCTAGATGTTTACTTAGGTTGAAGGCTCACAGGAACATTTCCAATTTTTGTTCAGACTCACCGGCCCTGGTAGCTTACATGTGCACTCCTCTCTATGATGGGTTTTTGTGGTTCACCAGCCACTCCTAAAGGAGATTGAGGCTTCCTGAAGTCTTCTTGTTACATAGTTATGTGACAGAATGCAAACAACTGTTTCACTGGAATCAGGAGTAGAAGTTGGCCATGATTGTTTATTTAAATTCTTCATTTAGAAGTTTTTATAAAATGTTTATTCAATCTTTTCTACTATGATTTTTTCCCTAAAGATAAAGGTAGACATTTGCTTGTATAATTCAGAAGCAGAGGATGCTGTAAAAAATATTGTTCTCCATATTTACATATTTAGCAGCTATAATGAGGCAGAGTGAGTGCAGGGCTGGAGTCATGACAGGTCTGGGTAGGTGTCTGTGGCCTTGGACAGCACCACTCTGAATCCTAGTATCTCATCTATAAAATAGGGATGAATGGTGGTGGCAATACCTGCTCTTTGCCCCTCGGAGGCACGCAGTGTGACCTGTGATGGCACCTTGTGAGTGGTGACATGACTTATGCAGGTTGGATGTTGTTGTCATCCTCATCAGCTTCCTTCATTCTCTCAGGTGTCCTGCGAGGGTCTGTAGTAGTTCCAGGAGATGATGGTTCCCTCTGTCAGTTTGTCTCTCCCTCATGATTTTGTATGGCTTGAAAGGACTCCAGAGAGTTAGAAATGAGATCTCCCTCATTTTATAGGACAAAATGGCAGCTCAGAGAGGACAGCCAGGTTGCCCACAGCCACAGCAGTTCATGTTGAGCCAGGACAGTTCTAAGCTATACAGATGGGACTCATGGGCAGTGTGACTGGGTGCCCTCAGAAGGCTGCCCAGAGCCTCAGTGGGGTTCTATGCTGGATCCTGTACAGCCTACTCCTTCCTCCTGTCACTGCAGGGAGTGTCAGAAATTCATCAAGGTCCCAAGGCTGTGGTCTCAGAGCCCTGGGGGAGCTTTTCATCTCCTGGTGCAGATCAGAGCCCTTCTTTCCCTCTTGTGAGCATTACTCCCTTATAGATATGAATAAACCTCCACTTGTAATTACTTCCCAATTGGCCCCATGAGGAACAAATGCAAAGGATTCCTGCAGAGCCTAGTCTTGGTTCTGTACAGGAAATGAGGGCTTCCAAACTAAGGTCATCTTACAGACCAGCACTGTCCAACAGAAATAGAATGCTAGCCACACGTGTAATTTTAAACTTCCTAGTAGCCACCTTAAAATAAGCACAAAAACAGGTGCAATTAAATTAATAATCTATTTTATTTAACTGAATAAATCCAAAATAGCATTTTGGCATGTAATTAATATAAAAAAGATATTTTATATGTTTTTTCATTCTGACTGTTCAAATCTGATGTATATTTTACATTCGTAGCACATCTTAATTCAGACACTAAATTTTCTTTAGAAACCCTTCATCTGAATTTAGATTTTAAAAAATTTGTGGTTGAAGTTGTTACCACATATGTAAAAGTATTTCAGAACTGAATTGAGTACCGAAAAAATCATTTTTCTTTAATATTTGCACACACATTGACAAAACTGGTTCCTCTTTCTTTAGAAGAATTGATTTGACTTTGAAACAAAAGCATATTGTTTTCAATACTATGTCTGTCCAAGTTAAGGAAATTCACCAACTCTGTATCAGCTCAGTGTTATTATTAAATTCACAGGGGTATTGAATATGTTGAAAAGTAACTAAATTTATCAATATTAACAAAGTATTCTTCAAATTTTGTTTCAGTTTTTGCAGCCAATTTTCACAAGGCTGTCAATTACAATTAAAATCTTCTGCATACTGAGTCATGTTATAAAAATATGTGAAATCATTATTATTGACTTGATTTATGAAGTTGGAACATAAATTCTCATACTTGTCTGGCTAGATCACAAATAAGGTCTTCTTTCCCTTGCTTAGAGCTTTAACTTTTTCATATGCAATGTGGATATAGGTGAGAGAATGTAAATAAGATTGCCACTTTTAATCTTTGATTATTGGATGAAATAATGCATTATTGAGTGAAAATAATGATTTGGCAAACATTCCTTTTCAAGAAAATCTGAATTGGAGTTACAAAGTAAATCTTTGTAAAACTCTTCCATCTCTCAATCAGTGAGTATTGGTAAAGAACACGGTATCATTAAATTCATTGTCTTCTGTTTGATTCAATAGTTTCATAAACTGGAAAGTCGTTGCAACATTTGCAAATATATACTGAACCATCTCAACAACTGTATCCATGATACTTTCACAGAGTCTGCTTCAGAAAACTGAGCACAAATGTTCTCAATATGTATCCTATAGTGCAATGAAGCAAATGTTTCCAATATGTATCATGCAGTAGAATGAGGTAACAAAGGAAACATCAGTCTATTAAAAGCCTGGAAGTCTATATTTTAATACAACTTAGCTGAAGTCCTGTGTGTGATGATAGAAAGTAATTTTTCACATGTTGGTGAAACTCTTTGACAAATATAAAAGATTCAAAAATTTCTACACCATGAATTTGATATTTTTTAGGCTACAATTTGACAGTATCTTTGGCATAGCATGCCAAAAGTATTGGGCAGCATCTCTTATATCATGCAACTCATCTAAAGCTATATTCATTTATGTATGAGTTCATTTATTAAAATATTTAATGTTTTTCCAACTTTGAATCAATCTTTGATATTGTTAGTTAGAAAGGTTTTGTAGTCTGAGGGCAATTGTGTCTTAATGGAAGATTGTTAACTTTTTGTAAGATACTGTTTTAAGTATTTTTCTTAAGATAGTTTCTTTCACAATAGTTCCATCTAAAATGGTTTTCTTTTTGCGTAAGGATCCAAGCCATTTCATTGTTAACCAAAATTACAAGCTTAGATCCTGTTAAAAATTTGATTAAAAAATTTTTGTAAGATATTTAACTGTGATTTCAGCCACTAATTTCATCAATTCTTCTTTGTTGAAAGGAAAGGAAAATATTTTTCAAATTCGTTGTGTATTTGCTAAAAATTTCTCCTTTACACAGCAAACTTGCCTTTTCATTTTACTCTGCAGCAGTGTATTGCACTTGCTATTCTTTGTTGAATTTGTGATGTACTTTTTTCCAGTTTTTTTTTTCTTTATTGATCTGGTTATAGTTCTAGTCAATTCCATAGCAGTAATATGCCTTTGTTTTAAATTTTAGAATTTGCCCATTTTTTTAACTTGAAAAATAATTATATTTCACCTTAGTTACCAATTTGAGATTTATATAGCTAGCACTATAACTCATGCTTTCTGCATAATAAGCACATCATGATGTTTCATCAGTGCACAGAAAAAAATCACTTGATCTGAATCAAACTATTGTCCCCAAAGAGAATAGTGATGTGTTTGTGTGTGATACTAGAAGTGACACATGGGCCTGAAGTGCACACTACAGTGCAACAATAAAGTAAAATGTCATCCTACCAAATCAATAAGTTGTGCTTAATGGAAAAATATTTTACAGTGTGTCAGTTTTTAAATTAAAAGTAAATAAAACTTCACTCTGGGAGGCCGAGGCGGGCGGATTGTTTGAGCTCAGGAGTTCGAGACCAGCCTGAGCAAGAGTGAGACCCCATCTCTACCAAAAATAGAAAGAAATTAATTGGACA